GCTTAGGCTTCCAAGACAGTATACATTAGAGAGAGCCAGCTCCACAGTGTATACAGTCAAATAACAGAAAAAAAGAATTTAGAAGCTAAGAAGTATCTCATCCAATCAGATCATTAAGGAAATACATCCTTATTCTTACTTTTTATGACTAACATTTTAAAAGTGCATAATCTATTTATATATCATCTAATTCCAATATCTATCTTACATGTTCATGTTTCTTGCAGCAAAATAAGCAAATATTTAACTTAATAAAATTAAACAGCCTTTTCTGTTTGTACCACCACATTTGAATTTTTTTCTCTTCTTTTTTGAGAAAGGAAGCGAATATTTTTAAATTGTAAAAGAATGCAAATAACAAACACATTTCACTTTGTTTATCAATTGAAATTCCTGATGTTTATTTTTATATAACTGTGTTGTCCTTTTTCACTGCTTTATTACAGTATGGTAGGGGAAGATTCGGTCCTACGTGGAGGAGGAGAACATGGGTCTTTGGAATGCTGGGCATCAGAGGAACAAGGAGAAGACCTATCCTGAGGCTGGTTACCAGTTGAGCCCCGAGCCTGTTTTTCAGGCCTCAGGCTCAAAAATGACATTCCCAGAACAATTGACTATATCTTTTCTTCTAAAAGGGGTAAATTAATAATATTTGTTCTCAAAGCAATGATAAACCTGTGAGTTGGATGTGGAAAAGTCAGAATCAATATAGAATTTTTTTATTTTAAAGTAAATTCAGATTGAACATAGTAACAAAATGTAAATGATAGTGTCCGTCCAAAAAAAAAACATTACTTATAGTGAAAACCACCCTTGAATGATGGGATAGTAGACCAAAAGCTTTAGGAATCCACACTATAACATATAATAAGTACCCTGTATCAAGATTGATGCAAAACAAGTGAAATTTGACCTTTTTAGACAGATTTAGAAACCGCTTGTGGGGTCATTTGGGTGCATTTTCCATATCTTTGGCCCCCCTCGGTCGATGTTGATGATTGACACCTCTTTTTAACCGTTGGAGTCAATAGAATCGAGGGGAAGTTCCTAAATCCACCTACACGTTACCCATTGGTGAATGAGTGATGCATAGACAGAATGACTCGGAACCGGAAGCTCTCATACACTCTAGTAGCTATCGTAGCAGCTAATGTGAAATCTCCGTTATTGACATAAAAATGGAATGATGGATTATCAGTAATAATTTCAAAGTGACACAGACACATTGGATTAACCTATGGATTAACCTTCAGCAGCGTTTTTATCGTTTTAATGCCATTGAACACAACTTTTGATCAGAAAACCACAAAGTTAAGACGTTTTTAGCCGTTTTGGCTCCGTAAAGCTATTTTTGTTGTTTGTTGTCGTTTCACCGCGAGTTCTGATCGCTCAGTGATGTTACTTATACGGCTGGAATCTGTGGATTCTCAGCTTGCTAATCGATATCTTGTTTGTGCAGATACGATAAGTAATAAGGGTATTTTAACGTGAGTTCTGTGCTAGTTGTGTTAGCATTTTCTTCGCTCAGGGCTAATTCAGAGCCTTTTTTATTACCCTTATGTTTCGTTTTGCTACAAATGGTTAATATTGTCTGATAGCTGAGTTTCCTCCCGTTAAGTGGATATGACACATTCATAGTTTATTAAATGTTAAGAAGCCCTCAGACGCTGTTTTTTGCAAGATGTTGCGTTTTGCTGCGGGGTTTAACTGGTTAAACAAAGATCAAGGCGCCACTAAATTCCTCTTGTCACAAATTACGTTCGCCAAGGGACCACGGTGATAACGGACATGTGGATGGTGTACATGACTGCACTCGCAGAAAGTGGCTTTGTCAATTTCGCCGTAAACCACAGCCGGTCATTTGTGGACCCAGACACAGGAGCCCACACCCAAAACATTGAGCGGGCTTGGTCAACATACAAGTCCCAGGTCTGGAGACTGCGAGGAAACCGCACAGTGAAGACTGAAGAGTCATCTTTCTTTCATCGAGTGGACACATTGGCTGGCAAATGAACACAAAGATGGCCCCCTAGGCAGATTGTTGCATGGCATACGCCACTTTCACAAGTTCTAAAAAGCAACCTCGTTAAATTCAGGTTGTTTGTTTATATGTTCCTCATTTATATCACATTTTTTTAAAACATTTGGATTGTTGTTTGAATAAAAATGTTAACTTGAGTGCACAGTCTTTGTTTGTTTGTTAAACTGCTTAACTAATGGTGAGGAAATTATTAGTTAATGCTTAACTACTGTTTTTGATGCATTACTTGAGGGGAAACAAACTGCCTAAGTAATGGTAAGGTAAGTAATGATGACTTAAGCAGTAACGGACCATTGCTTCAATCAAAGTCACTCATTAACAAATGATTCATTAATACAGTCCCCCCCAGTCTGTTTACCAGTAACTAACTATCAGTTCTTCAATCGCAGTCACTCAGGAACTCCTCATTAACTGACCATTAACTATCTAGTCGTTCCTTATTCACTACTCAGTAACTAAGCACATTTTGTGTACCTTTATTGTAAAGTGTTACCCTGTTTTTAGTACATTTTGAATTGCAAATAAATAGGAAAGTATAAGTTTACAATACATAATATGAATTTGTTCCACAAGAGGGCAACCACTTAAATTAAGGTAACATTGTCTGTGAGAAGCATATTTATATATTTTTTGCTTCAGGCATTTCAATAATAACTTTAAAGGTTTATAATTGTGTTGATTTTATGGATACTTACTATTTTTACTTATATTTGTGAGGTTGCAATATTTAATTGTGGTCAAAGACGGAAACTTTCTTGATGCAAGACAAAGCTACAGTAGGACTTAATCTGTGCAGTTTCACCGCAGACGCACACACCACTTGAGGAAGCAATACGTGGATAACATAAGGAACACACATGCACACAAATACCAGAGAACGGCAAAGAGCTACTGGCCCTGATAAAGTTTCACTTTAATAAGGACCAGATGCTCATAAAAGACTACTTATAAGGATTATTTTTGTCTTCAAAGAGACAGGAAGAGTAAGAAAGACATATGGATATGAAGAAATAAATTCATTTTGATATTTTGATTCACGTTTGTCTTTAGTGTCGAGCCAGAGTCATAACTTCCCTATGGTCTACATGTGTGTGTGCCGAAACAATGATCGTAAATGATGAAAGGAAGTCAGGGCGTCCTGGTTTTATTAACAGGGCAGGTAATGAGGTGAAAGGACGGCAGCAGCAGCTCAGGTTCACCAAAGAGCAGAGGCCTTAGTTCACAGTGCACAGGAACACCGGTGGGAAACGGTACATTAATCTCCAGCTGTTTGACATGAAATGACTTCCAAAAACAGAACTAATTATCATTCTCTGAACTCAGAGACGAGATAACACTTGTGGAGGCTTTATATAAAATGAGGAGGAATCCAATTGTGTGCATAGCATGTTTGAACCCTTTGACCCTACTTATTTCTGCCATGGAAAAAAACGGTGGTCAAGTCATGAAATAAGTAACATTTAATATTGTATTAGAGAATGTTTACATATAAGAGCCCTTGAATTTGAAATAAAGCTCTCAAACCTTGTTTATACCGTGCAGAGGTATCCATAAACTGTAGAGCCCCACTCAGATTTACCTGTAGTTTTATTACCTAATAAACAGCTTTTGTTACTCTGACTTTGGGTAAAGTTTATCATCCTCACTAACATAGACTGACCTGTACACAGAGCAAAGGAGAGTGCACTTTTCAGGTGGATTAGACGTAACAGTTCCAGCAGAGAATGAAAGGCATGATTGATGCTTTTCTTTTACTGATTTAAACAGAAAGCAGATGCAAAGGTTTGAACCAGCTGCAGCCAGACTATCAGACAGATTTAGGAGATGTGGAAGGAAATACTTTAAAATAAAGGGATCAACTCACCTTGCAGAACAACGCTGAGGCCAGGGAAACTTCTCAAGCTATTTTGGGAGTGCATCTGTGTATCCGGTATGATGCAGCAGGGTGTTCCCAGGACAGGCCTGCTCTGGAAAAGCTGACCACTGCAGGGAGGAGATTAGTGCAAGTTGTGATCAAAACTTCTGAAGCAATGGAGACACGGAGAGAGCTCGCACTTTGATGGCAAACACTGATGGTTTATTCTGAGCTTCGGCCGGAGAATTCACAAGACATGTGCTGTGCCACGAGTAGACACAGCGGTTGCCAAACCAATTCTGAAGAACTCTACCCCAGACCCGTGCATTTAGCTGGTTCTGAGAGAATAATCAACATTGTGCATAACAAGATAAAACCATAACACCTCTATCAGCTGCCGCCAACAGGCAGGAACAGGGAGACAAAACACTGAGAGCACAGCCTGTGCTCATAAGGGCAGCACAACTGATCAACTCGGGTCAAAGATATGGGCCCAGGAAAATACTTCCCCAACACAAGTCATGACTGATTATAACTTATGTTAGGAAAATGTTCTGAGTCAGGGACAGAGGGTTAGTTTGCCCAAACAAGCATTAACCTAAATAATTCTAAGGAAATATCAAGTTAGATTTTGTAAATTTGTTTTAGGAGTTCAGCAATCCTTGTTATGCAAATTATGAACAAATGCAAAAGGCATCAAGTGTTCTCTTTCTCCCTCACCTGCTCACAGTTCAAGTCAAACACTGGCAATCAATGCTGGAAAATGTCTCCGCACACCATGGAACAATGGGAAATCCTGGAATGTATCAGTAAAAATTAAGAATTCAACTGTTTATACATTCTTCTGCTGTCTTTTGGCAATAAAATAACATTTCACAGAGTGCAGAAGCAATTGGTGTTTTACTGCACAATGTGTTTACAAGAGAGAGAGAGAGAGAGAGAGAGAGAGAGAGAGAGAGAGAGAGAGAGAGAGAGAGAGAGAGAGAGAGAATTATTTGATTCAAAATAAATGTACTTTGGCAAAAATACAGAACTACATTTGATCACAGAAAAACATCTAAAGATGACCTGCACGTTCAGACAAATAATAAGCCAGTCACTCTATTTATTTACTTAAGACGTTTTTAATAGTCCTGGGTAGCAAACAGAATGACTATGTGCATTATTCTGTATACAGAGCAAAAAAAAAATAAATGGTGTCTCCATTCAAATACATTAAAATAATCAACTGTAAAAATCACATAGAAAAAAATCTCTTAAAAAAAAACAAAAACAATAGGAATGATCAGATTAGAAAACAACAATTCCAGTGATTCTTTCCTATTCTCATTTTAATCTTTCTCTCCATTATGTTTAAAACTTTCAATATCTGGGACCCAACCGCCGGCACTGTCCACCTGCAGAGACGAGCAGAATGAAACACAGCAGCCTCCAGTTTCTCTACGACAAACTGTGTGCTTCAGAGCAGGCGCAGCAACTTGAGTTACTGGATTGAAACGCAGCTGGAGCACTTGATTAAGGATCTCTACACCTATACTGTACTTGAAGAACCTCATTTATTTGTATGTTAAGTTCCAGTTCCTCCATGTCCAAAGATATTCCAATTTTAATAGAAGATATATAAAAGCTGGTGTTGCTGGTGTAGATTATTTTATTTATGCTGAACTTTCTGAGATACAATCATGTCCCTCCTTCCCTGGGCACAGTTAAGCTCTGATCTCAATCAGTGGCTTGATAAAGACCGCTGGAGTCCACCCGGTAGTTTCTAGATTCCTGAGGCTTGCTGGGTATCAGAGCTGGAGCACACACACTACAGTATTGTGTTTGCATAGTTATACATATTGCATGGAGCAGCTGACATCACCTCTCAGGATTCCTGTCAGATATTACACCACAACATCAGGGCAACATGTATGCTGATGGCTACTGAATGCAAATAAGAGCAAGGCCAGACATTCATCAACTACTGTTGCAGTTCAGTGGGAGAGAGAGTGGGTTAACAACACACACACACACATACTTGTCTCAGCAGTTTTCGGGCATTTTTCCAGTGGGCTATATCCTCAGCAGAAAGACCACAAAGAGGGTTTATGAAACCTAGGATTTATGACAGCATGGTTGGTACCGTTCAGTAATTACAGATGGCAAAACACGCACACACTTAAACCTAAATGCACAAACACACATAATGTAGGAAGTCGAATGGGCACATACAACTAAATATAGGTGGCTTACTTCACACACTTATTCTCATACACATACAGGCATGTAAACTGCTCAGGCTAGCTTTTGTATGGAAACACACTTTAAAACTTTAAGAGTTTTTCTTTTGGTTTAACTGACTGTCGAACGTTCTCTGCCAATCTACATCTCTCTGCGGTTTATAGGAATGTTCAATGTATATAAGCAGTTTCTTCATATAACTGTTGTGGGCATGAGTGGTAGCTTAGACACATTTATGTAAATTAATATATTGTATGTGAAATCTAACTAAAGCGTGCTAACCAGTGAACACAATCCCTTCTCCCTCATTACAACAACACAGTGATCCACCCAGGAGATGACGGCTGTTTGAGTCCACACAGCCGCGAGTACAATCTGTGATTGGACGATACCTGGGAGTGAAATGACAAGACTGGATGTCTATTGGTTGGCACTTTTTTTTCAATAACACAGCAAATTGATTAACATTAACAAACAGTAACATACAGTATATGAGACAAATGCAAAGCGATATGTTTCATAGGTTTAAAAAATATGTGAAAAAGCGCAAAGTGGTCTTGGCCTGGAACGTCCACAGGAAACGCTGCAGGATGCCAAATTCTAGACATTCCCAGTCTACATGTGGGTTGCGGAAAATAACCACAAAAAAAGGAAGGATCCCTTATGAGTAAGTCTTTGGAATGGCCTAAGATGCCCTTTGATGAATAACAGGTGAATCAAGTGAAACAGACAACAATAGATATGTGCACATGCTGAAGAAAGCAATAACATGTTTATGATGATGGCAAAGATCCAAAGGTTGATGAGGGACATCCAGGGGGTCGTGGCTGAGGTGAGAGCCCCGCACTCATCCTCTGCCACTCCCTGTCCTCCCAGAAGACACAGTCAATGCTACCCTTAAAGAGGGGCCTGATTAGACATGGAGAAAACACAGGGCCTTTTTTTCTCAGATTTATATTGGCCCCTGGAATGGCTAGGAAATACATCTGCATTTGGATAACAATGACTTAGTCAAATCTTTCTGTGGTGGGGGCCTAATTGGACCGAGAGAGAGTCGCCTCCAGTAACTCCTCTAATGACTCCACTCCTTCTAGTTTGGGCTCTTCCTTCTCCTCTGACTTTTTCTTCTTTGCGGGCAGTTGGCTGGATGGAGGCGTGTCTTCCTGCATCAGCTCTTTGGCCAGGATGCTGGTCACTGCATGACCAGCTCGTCGGTGGTTGGCTAAGGAACAAAAGGAAACAGAGTTAGGGAGATAAAATAATTGAGAAAACATAATAATGAAAGTCATGTTCATGGCATAACAAGTCCATTCGAGTATGTCAGCGCATGCCATAAACTAACATATCTGATGTGTGTGCAAGAAATATGTCAGTTAGCCAAACAACATCACAACGGCAGACACGTGCTCAACATATTCCACTGACCATAGGCTTTTGTTCTGAATGGATGCTCCCTTTCATTACAACATACATGCACTACCATGACACACAAACGGCTTAATGGTGTGGCTGTACGTGTGGATTCATGTGACATCTGGAGCAACTCGCTGTGTGTTGTCAAGATTAAACTCAACTTGAGTTTGACAAAGTGGGAACAATTAGGAAAAGGGGGGAAAAAACGCGAGGCATAAGAGACATTGAGCGGAAGAGGAAGTGGAACTGGTGGGATGGAGGAAGGGTGAGTGTGTAAAAGCAAAACAAGGGTAAGATGCCATGAAGAGCAGGGTGATTCATGCTGTGGGAAGATTACGGAGGCAGGGATCAATGAAAATGAGACGAACGTGGATGGAGAGATTGACTAAGAGGAGGAATGAGAATACATCACATACAAAAAGTGGATTTAGTGAGGAGAGATAAGAGATGCAGAGAAACAGAGCGAGTGGGACAGATTGGGCCCTGAGGATGCCGTCGTTTTTATTCTTCTACCTGCTTACTCTGTTATTTCACACACACACACACACACACACACACACACACACACACACACACACACACACACACACACACACACACACACACACACACACACACACACACACACACACACACACACACACACACACACACACACACACACACACACACACACACACACACACTTTATCTCTCTCTTCCTCCCTATCCTATACCACTTGTCATTCTCCTGAGTGGAAGGACAGCAGTGCAGCAGCGGCCATTTTGAATGATATAAGTCAGTGGGAGATTGTGTATGCTGTTAAGTGACGCCTGGTGTGTGTTATGAATAAAAGGTTAACAAAAGTAAAGAACACATTTGTTATCACAAACACACAGAGTGATGCAATGTGTTCCTGTTGTTACTGAGAACAACAGATCAATCAAACAACGTCATGATGCAAACCAACAGCAATACACATGCAAATGCATCATGTTCACACAAACAACAAACCAATATTTGACACATGGTTCTTATCGAGCAAAGAAAATATCACACACAAACAGAAGTTACCGAACAGGTCTCCAGAACTAGCTGTGACAAAGACACAATTGAGTCTGGGGAGAAAGAGGAGAAGCAGGGTTTGGTGATTCATGTTCACAGTTGACTTCTTTGTGTGAGCCTCAGCTGGACTGATCAACACAGACAGCTAGGGTGTCAAAGTATCACTCAACACACACATCGCTCCTCATCTCTCTCAAACACCAATACATGGGAACGCTTTCTCTCTCAGTGAACTCTCACAGATATCTGACATATCTATTTCTGGCCCTTTCCAAACTTCTCTCCCTCACTCATACATGTACCAATGAGGAATTATGCAAATGACCCAAAAACCGAGTGTGAGTCAGTGTGGGTGTTATCTTATGTGTGTGTGTGCAGTGTGCTGAGCTTGTCCTAAAAAAAGCCAACCCGCAGAGAAAAGCTTTTCAAAGGCTGTCAACGCAGCTCCTTCCTCTCTCATCCTCCTCCACTCCCTCTTGAGGGAGAAGACAGAAGAGGAAGAGCCGGGATCAGAGGCAGCATTGGAAAACCTGCAGATTATCAAGAGGGAATGTATGTGCAAATGTTCTCTATTTAAATATACTTTAAAAACATGACTCTCAGAAGCAAATAGATAATCTGACAGACTGTTTTCAATGAGCATCACAAGTCACAGCTAACACATTGAAAGACAAAGGATAAGACTGAAAATATTCGATAGTTTTGTTATTGTCAACAAATCCAATGCAAAGACCACAACTTTAAACCTGTGAGTCATCTCAAAAGTTCCCCAGCTAGTCTGTGGGCCTCAGGTCTTATCTTATCCATTTCTACTACATTCCTCAATCTGCTAAACAGGTAACCAGGAATATAAACTTTCATACAAATAAATCCAAAACACTATTGTAAGGCTCGAGGCACTTTTGTATGGGTTAGGTGTTAATAGTGCATCAGATGAATATAGAATATCTCCAGACTTCTCCTTAGAGTATAACTTTGGGGTAGATCACAGTTTGTTGCTCCAGTAGCAACATGGCCACCTACTGGAGATTAAATGGAACTACTGCAGTGTCTGCTCAGCGAGTTGCTTGGTACTGTATTTCTTGAGAAGCATTTCTCTTTCACAGGACCTCAGCAATACACCCGCCATGTCTGAAGGTGATCTGATGTATGGTTGTAGAGGACCTTTTTTTCTTGCAGCTTTTAGAGATCTCTTGTGTGTAAAATCAGATTGAAAACAGTTGTTAAATGTCTTATGTGGCTTTAAAAGGAGCCGTTTAAACCCTAAGAAAAACCCTGATGCAACGTCTAAAGATTACTTTACTTAAAATAGGGACTACAAGTCAGGATATTTCGTCCTCTGGTAATACAACTTTGACAATGTTTTCTTCTCGCAAGCCGTTTTACATTGTCACATTTCAGTACAAAAATGGCTTGAGTACCCCTTTAACACGTGGCATTACAAACATAGGAAATACAGAGCATGTATATCCAAAGACTAGCTCTGATGTTGACTTAATGATCCATGCACTTGGCAGGAAGCCTGGTGTGAGCAGCAGTAGGAAATGAGACGTCGGGACTCAACAAAGACTGTTGTGAGTCTGTTTACCGGCAATGTGAGGTTGAATGAGTGTGTTTGCACTTTGAGGGACCATCAGTGGCAAAGAGAGTCAAGTGTGAAATCATCTGTATCACATTACTCTTCAGGAGACTTAATAATGGCTGCCTGATGAGGGAAAGATCACGTTGAGAAGAGAAGCTAATAGGAACTAGCTCAGTTGCTTTTTTTAAGATTTACGGAGAATAACCCACTGCCTCTCAGATCAAAGACAGTCTCAACTCAATGAACATAAACTCTGCCTGGTGAGATGCCAATTTCAGAGCAGCCATCTTTATTGTCTTAGCTTTTTGTCAGTACAGAAGCAGTAAAGCCCCGGTCACATGACAGCATGGCATGATGGTGAAGTTGCAGATGAAGGCTGAACCTTCATCACAGTCCCAGCCTAGCAGGGGCTCATGTCGCCCTCGTCAGGACACACTGCGTAACACACTGCTGCACTAGAGGATTGTGGGAGAGAGTGACGTCATCGAGCCTCACTGTTTGCTTGTGTCTGCGTGTTAGTATTGATGTGGAAGTATTCCTTTCATGTCACCAAATAGGCTTAACTGGTGCATATGAGACTCTCACTGGCATGTATTGTCCCATGGGTGTTTAGTATGCACGTGACATCACCACTGCTGCAGTAATGACTTGATTGACGAGTGCTCTCCTATTGGTCTAAATGATCTCCTTCTGTGTCTGTCTGTGTGGGTCTCAATGTGTGTTTGTGTGAACATCTGTGAGAGCACAGATCTCTATGGGGGTCTCTTTGTAGGAGCAGACCGTCTGCAGAGCCAGCGTGTGCCTCTATTGTTGCCGTCCCTTTTATCTCCATGTCTCTGTTGGGATTGGTGCTTTGTCAACTAGTTACTACTGCCATTGGTTATTCTGGCAGGGGTCATGACCCAGCAGATGGGACCCATAGTGAATGTTTAGACACGTCATTCCTCTACACACAAGTGCCCTTAAATAGCTTTAAACACATACACACACAAATTAGCCTAATAAAAGGAATAGATGGACCAGAACTAACAAATTGAGGTAGAGAGCCAGTGTGATACTGTTTGAAAAACTATCCAAGACTGTCCTCTGGAACGCTGCAACTTCTGTTTAGCTACATGTATTGGTATGCAAACATCTATGCGTGTCTTTGTATCGGCATTCAAGCATCTGGTGTGTGCGTTTTGTCTGGATGTGTTTAAAGTGGGGGTGGGCAGACAGCTGAGGATACCTACCACACACACACACACACACACACACACACACACACACACACACACACACACACACACACACACACACACACACACACACACACACACACACCACACACACACACACACACACACACACACACACACACACACACACACACACACACACACACACACACACACACACACACACACACACACACACCCCCACACACACACCACACACACACACACACACACACACACACACACCCCACACACACACACACACACACACACACACACGTGTCAGGGGTTAGGAGGTATATGGCCTCCACAGCCTCGTGGGTTTCCTCTAAATCACAATGCAGTGACACAATAAGCATGACACACACTCAATAGCCCCTCAGTAGTCCTTTAATACAAAGTTGGTGACGTGTGCAGTCGTAACAGCGGTGAAGAGGAGAGAAAGAGGAGGGGAGGGGACGTCACACTTTTTGTGATGAAGACCCTTACAAGACACTAAAACAATTAAATAATACATGTGTAGTTTTATATCAGCACATGGAAGACATGAAATGATCCGTATATTTTAAAGATACCCAGTCATAGCATCCTAAACATTTATTTTTAAACTGCACATCTATAATATACAGTGGGGCAAAAAAGTATTTAGTCAGCCACCAATTGTGCAAGTTCTCCCACTTAAAGGGATGCAAACTCATCAGGTATGAAAAAGGTGACAAGGATCCGAGCCCCCCGACCCCACGGAATATCGGCTTCAAAATGAGGAATAACAAGATTTTAGCAGTCAGAACTAAAGCAGTTAATAATAACAGAAATCTAATATAAATATATAAAAACATTTATTTTCATGCCTCTGTGCAAGGCTTAGTCTTTCTATCTTTATAGCCACTGGTGTAAAGTAACTAAGTTCATAAACTCAAGTACTATACTTGGGTACAATTTTGAGCTACTTGTACTTTATTTAAGTATTTCAATGTTTTGCTACTTTGTACTTCTACTCCTCTACAGATCAGAGGTACATGGTGTACTTCTACTCCACTACATGTATTTAATGCCTTTAGTTACTACAGATGTGGATGAATGATGTGAAATATAATCAAGTGTTAACTCAGACTTTAGTTCCACCTGGAGTAAATTCACAAGCTACCCTGCAGTATACAAAGTCATTCAAACTAGCTGCACCTTTACCAGCTTTGAGAACACTTTCATGATCAATCATTATAAAACATATCATATATATTATTCTGAAATGGACCAATCTGCACAACGACTACTTTTACTGTCGCTACTTTAACTATATTTTAATGAGAATACTTTTCTACTTTTACTTGAGGAACATTTTGAATTAAGGACTTTTACTGTAACAGAGTATTCCTTCACTCTGGTACTTCTACTTTTACTAAGTACAAGATCTGAGTACTTCTACTTTTACTCAAGTACAAGACCTAAGTACTTCTACTTTTACTCGAGTACAAGACCTGAGTACTTCTACTTTTACTCGAGTACAAGACCTGAGTACTTCTACTTTTACTCAAGTACAAGATCTGAGTACTTCTACTTTTACTCAAGTACAAGACCTGAGTACTTCTACTTTTACTCAAGTACAAGACCTGAGTACTTCTACTTTACTCAAGTACAAGACCTGAGTACTTCTACTTTTACTCAAGTACAAGATCTGAGTACTTCTACTTTTACTCAAGTACAAGATCTGAGTACTTCTACTTTTACTCAAGTACAAGATCTGAGTACTTCTACTTTTACTCGAGTACAATATCTGAGTACTTCTACTTTTACTCGAGTACAAGACCTGAGTACTTCTACTTTTACTCAAGTACAAGATCTGAGTACTTCTACTCGAGTACAAGACCTGAGTACTTTTACTCAAGTACAAGATCTGAGTACTTCTACTTTTACTCAAGTACAAGATCTGAGTACTTCTACTTTGACTCAAGTACAAGATCTGAGTACTTCTACTGTTACTCAAGTACAAGATCTGAGTACTTCTACTTTTACTCAAGTACAAGACCTGAGTACTTCTACTTTTACTCAAGTACAAGATCTGAGTACTTCTACTTTTACTCTAGGACAATATCTATACTTATACCACCTCCGTTTATAGCCTATGAAAAAAACTATTAAAAAACGAAGGCTAAAGCTAACGTTAGCAGATAGTGACAATGTATGCTAGTTAGCTAGCTCAACGATTCCTTAAATAATATTATGACAGAAAAACTTTTCAGTTCACATCACGCTC